TTATCAGTGCTTCCTGTCGTCTTCCGCTCTATAACCTCTGACACCGAAGTGACATTAACGTCAAACCCAAAGGTGTGCAAGTCAGTGGAAACTCTGCCTTGAGCACAAACAGTTCCACCCCTCTGAGTCCCTGCTGAAGGGGCACCAGCTATAGAGGGCATTCACAAGTTGCATTTTCCTCTTCATCTGCTGCCATGATCAGAGTTTTCAGCTGCATTAAGACAATTAAAAGGACTCATTGCTTAAGATGGGAAAGTAGTTGCATGGAAATGCACCACAGACTTGTGCTAGAAACATTAGGAAGCCCAAATCAGCCAGTTCTGTCACAGGGACCTGCCTGGAACAAGCCTGCAAGACTGCAATCACCCCGTCTGGTGTGACATCTCTCGTGTCTGAGCTGCTGAAATGATCAGATCATCTTCTAGGAGAACCCATCTGTTTTCTTCACAGGAGACCAAGCAAGATTCCAGCCCAAGAGATGAAAATACTTGAGGTTTGGTCTCCAATTTCGGGCTGAAGCAAGTAGGTCTCTTTCAAATGCCACTGAACGCAACTGGAGACTGAGCAAAAAGGAAGTAGGTTAAAACATGGCCTAAATAAGAGCCCAGGTTAACTCCACCATGGGAATGTGCCTTCAGGCTTCCTCCAATTCTGCATTTCCAAATATTGTGGAAAGGCTGAGGATGGACACTGCAGGAGGCACAGACTAATGCATTTACTATGTCTCAGAGGCATGTCTTCCTCTAGCTATGCTGCTCTCCCTGGACAGGCAGCTCTGCAGAGTGAATAACCTCCCCCCAGTGAGGATTTAGTGAAGGAGAAACTGATGCCCCAGAGACCATGTCCTAATTAGCAACAAAAAAGGAACGATGTGTGCAGCCACATTGCTCTCTCTCACTCAGCGCAGCAGATCACAGGAGGGAATGCAGTGCACCCTGCACAGCCAGTTCCCTCCACAGCCTCAGAAAGGATATCGATGAGAAAAAGTTCTTACGAGGCTGTGTGTGACCTGAGCATCTGTTCATTAGAAACTGGCAGCAGTGACTCATTTTCAAACAAACATGATTTCGGGCACTGTGTGAGCTCAGCTGCTAAGCCAACATTGTCTCTTGATCTAGCACGAGGAAGAGAAGGGGGTGGCCCATTGTCTGCCCCATAGCACAGGCAAGAAAATGAGGGGGAAACAAACCAAAAGTAAAATCCCTGCTGATATGTTTGGCTTTTGCCTCGATGTCTCTGTGCTGCGGAAGGCAGTGATTTCTGCTGTAGGTTCCTGCCTGCACTCAGGAGGCAGTGAGGTGCCCACCCCAGCCCCAGCTGGCTGCCTTGTTCTGGAGAACAGAACTGGAGTCTCTGTTTCTTTATTAGAGAGACACTGCCAGAAGCCAGAGAGTTCACATCTGACTCAGAACTTCCCCAAAGTTTGAGGACATGCAGATATCTTCCCAACCCCCGTCTCAAATCCACATCCAGTGCAATCTGGATCTTGTCCCAGCAAGTTCATTTTTTCGGGAAAGCTCTTCACTCAGGCTTAAGTTAAGAACTAATAAGTGTTTCTCCAGATTGCTCCACTCAGCCACTGGTTTGTAGTGGGTGTAAAGCGCTAACAGAAGACAAGATCATCATCACTGCCACTTTTGCCCTTTCTGTGCTCTTACCTTTGAGTAGGTTTTTCCGCCCTTCAGCTCCTAAAATGGGAGACAAAACAAACAGGAAAAGCAGCTATTATATGTGCTGGGGAAACAGGGGGAAAGTCATTATTCAGTCTTGAAATCTGCTCTCAGGATTTCACAAACCTCTGTCTCTCAAGGGTTACCACCACCCTGGTCACTCCCACTCTCCATCAAGTAGTCTTGTTGGAGAGAGGGAGGCTCTGTTCCAGTCACATCCTGCCCCAAACAAACTTTCCTTCCCACCACAGTCCATGCAATTTTGCTTGCTGCCAAAAGGCACCCAGTGCCCAGCACCAGGACACTGGTGGTACTACCTGCAAGAAGCAAAGCTGGATGCTCACCTTACGGACAGACACTCTGCAGATGCAGGGGTCCAGCAGTCCTGTGGCAGGGTTGGCACTCATTTTACACACAAAGGTGAATTTCTTTTTCCAGCGGACACAGTTTTCCTGAACTTCCTCTCTGTGAGAAGGAGAAAAAAAAAAAAGATAAGAGCCTTCAAATAAAGGTACAAAGCCAAATCAATCACGACTGATAAGGATCTCATTGAATGACTGGTGTCTTGGACCACACCACCTGGATCGGCACCACACAAAGGTGTTATGTTAGCATCAAGCTTTTCACTAGTCAATACAGGTAAAATCCACCTAGGTTACAGGAAGACTAATCACCTCATCAGCAGAATTTGCCTTTAAAACTCTCACGAGCTCTCTGACATTTCCTGCTCAGCCGGTTTAGCTCATTCACCATCCGGCCTGGATGGAGCCAATCTCTGTAACTGAACTGGGCTGAAGGTTCACAAGCTTATCTTCCTCCAGCACACCTGTTTGTACAGCCTCTGCACAGCAACGTGCTGTGTGTCCTGGATGGCTTGTCCTTCCCTACTTTCTCATGCTGGGTGGAAGCCAGTGAGGGCAGCCAGCTCGAAGGAGGACAAAAATGCACGTGAAAATACTCCTGGCTGCAGGCAAACAAGGCCATGCCAAGCAGACACTTCAAATCATGCAGGGGTTCAGACCATAAAGCACTCTCAGCCAGGGAGGAGGTGGGTTTGCTTGTACAACTTCCATTGTACAGCAACTTTGTTGATCAGCCTACCCTGATCTCCAGGGCGAGTGGAGAAGCACATGGCTCTGGCAGGAGGAAGAAAAGCCTTCCTGAGCACAGGAATTGCTTCAGGTAGAGCTTTGGTTTCTACAGAGCCCTGGGGAGAAGTGTGATTTCACCTTTCAAATGAAGCCAGTTCACAGGAGCCTGGAAACAAGGTGTGTGGGTCCCTCCACAGGGCTCAGGTTCCTCACTGATCCGTTTACAGCTCCCAGCTTGGCCCTTAGCCAGTTTGGTTCTCAAAGTAATGAGGCTGGGGAGGGGAGGAAGGGAAGGCACTGCTGACAGCTATGAGCAAGCAAGTTTGCATCTCTTATCTCTCCTCCTAACACAGGACAAAGGGGCAAGGGCACCAGATAAACTGTTTGCTTTAGCAGGGAAAGGGAGGCTTCCCAGCATCTGACCCGGGCACAGTGCGAGCCAAAGGGATCGGTGGCAAAGGGAAGAACAGTCAGCCTTCCTAGTGCCTCAGCTCTCCTTCTGAGAAGGAAGGGGCAGAAGTCAGCACACAGCCCAGCCAGCCCTTCTGCAACCTGGAGGTGAGCCCAACAGGACAGATCCAGGGACTGGATCCCAAGCCAGGAGGTCCCTGCTAGTCCTGAGACACACTGTGGGACTGAACGTGCTGGCCAAGGCAGACACAGAACAGAAAAAGAGTAGCTGACAAATAATTGAAGCCTGTAATCCTCTGTAATGCAGATAAAGGCTGATCATCCCTGTTTAAAATGAGAGAAAAGAGAAGGCAGCAAGGTAGAGAACTTAAAACTCCTTCCAGACAGAACTCAGGCTGCTATTGAAGTCAGTGAAAAGTGAGACATCTAAGTGCCGAAAATACCTTTGAATCTGGGATTAATTCAAGATGAGATCTGGTTCTCATTGCTTCCCACTCAACTCACTCCAGCTCTTTCAGACAGGAGAAGAAACACTTCCAGAGGGATTAAAAAGGTTTTGCCTATAATAAAATATTCACCAAGCCAGCCAAATTAGGCAAGTTACATTACAGATGTGGGTGCCTTAAGCCTGACTCAATAGTAGTATCTTGAATGACCTAAAGGAAGGAAAACTCAGATACAGATGAAAAAAAGGAATTCAACAGAACAGAAAACCACTTGTGAATACAAGTGCTTCAGAAACACAAGGCAGGTACAGGGGATGCAGAAAACACTGAATATTTTAGCAGCATTAGTAGACTTTAAAAAGGAACTGCTGTTTTCTAGAGAGCAAAGCTGCTACCAACACCAGAGCTTCACACTGAATGCTGGAAGGCAGCTACAAGTGAGGGATGTTCAATCAGGCATCAGCACACTGCTGCACACCTCATTCACAACCCTGCTCTGAGCTCCAGCTCCTGCCAGAAGTGAGTATTTACAGGACTAAGCTCCATCCAGCTCCCAGATCCCATCACATGTGCCTGGCTCCCAGCAAGGACTGCTCCAGCATGAGTTTCCTTACTCAGGAGTTCTCCCTTGTTTTACAATGCAGCCATGATTAAGCATCTGCTGGATGCTGCTAAGTCCAATGAAGGCTAATTACTTCAAAACATGGCAAAAAAGTACTGATTAGCAATAAAGAGCTTCATAGCTAATTTGCCTTCAGGATAAGCTCTGCTAACAGACACTCTGCTTCTTATTAAGGATGTATGTTGGCTTTCTGAAAGTGCTGTAGATACCACACAGCACAAGGGATTAGGGAAAGGATTTGGGGGTGGGTTATGTTACCCACAGCACTGTGAAGATGAACCCGAGCTGCAGGTGCATGCATAGCTTGGGGCTTTTTCTGTCTTTGGAATAGTCTGCACAGGGTGAAAGGAAGTTTACAAGATAAAATACAGAGCTGCTTTCCAGTCACAAGTTTCAAAATAATTCAACAACGACTTTCAATCTGGGTTTTTTTCCACTTTAAAAAGTGGCCTGTAATGGCAGGAACTGGGGCTGTACCATTAGACAAGGGACAGCTCTATTGTTTCCAACCAGACTCTAAAAAATTCCACATTTCCAAAAGATGGCATGTGGGGAAGCATTGAGCTTTGCCTATCCACCTCCCATCAAGCTATCGTTAGGCTGGTAATTAGAGAACACTAAAATAGGGGGAAAATAAAAAAGAGCTCAGATGATGAGCAGGTTTGTATTTAGCCCTGGAATATTCTGTGATGTACAATTAGGAACCATCACACAGAAACCAAAAACACACAAGAAGTATAGCGAGGGCTGCGCCGAGAGGCGTTTCCTTCCATCCTAATCACAAGGCAACCAAAAGTAAAGCAGAAACTCACAGCTTAAAACCAGAAGTGTCCAATTTTAAGTTTTGCTCTGTATTTGGAGAGGCAGAAATAGCTCAGACCAATGCCTGGCACTAGGTGCCAATTCAATGAGTCTTCAGAAGTTTTATTTTAAAAAAAGCTGTCTGTACCATTTTGCAAAGACTCCCAGAAGGCTGAATCCTTGCCAAGCTAAGCTTTGCCCTCTTCTGACTTGAGACTTATTCAAAGCTGTGTAATTACTCTTCCAGACCTAAATATACCTCCTCAGAATAAACTGATGCAACCCTGCAGCAGCTTTGATGAGAAGTCAAGCTTTGGAAGGAGCTTCTTGGGGTCTTCCAACCCTGGAGCTGCTCATCTACCTCCAGCTCCATGACCAGCCAGAGAGGATGGTTTACTGCACCCCTCATCCACCATCCTACCTCTCCAGAGAAGATTTACCAGAAAAAGAGCAGTTGGAAGATGTTTCACCATGGCATGGTATGAATCCAAGTAATGGGAATGATGCCCAGCAGGGACCAACTGCTTTACCTACTTGTAGGTGAAGCTTGGGGTGAAGCCTCCAAGACCTCTTTGGCTTCAGATCCCACACACAGCTTTGGAGATAGGCAGAAGAACACACAACAAACAGATTTTAGAGAAGAGATGTTTACCAACTGTGATTTTAGCGCCGTGGACAGAGTAGCACTGTTACAGGAAGCCACAAAGCTCACCATGAATGCAAGTAGCTAAAGCAAACCCTTCAGGAAAAAGGCCACGTATACGACCCTTTGCTATCTTGGGCTACTGTGAGCCTCTCTCCCACATGAAAACCAGCTAATGAAACACTAGAACAGAGATTAAAACTTCTATTTACAGACTCAGAGCTGAGTTGTGCCCAACTGGATATATCAAGCTTCCAGCACACTGCCCGCTGAAACAGTTTTGCCTTGCTGAAGCATTTAGAAAAGCAGATGTTTCACTCTCACTTTATGGCAGTTGTCACATATAAGACAGTGTGTTATAAAAAGGCTACAGCTTCCCTGGGAGGGCAACAACAACAAAAAATAGCTTTTTAATGCCAAAGGTTTCAGTAGAGCAATGTGTCTCAGTCTGATGTTTCATGCATGGGAGCAGACGTGGGGAAACCTCAGGCTAAATCAGACAGTACATAGATAAGCACAGACAAAGAGCTGCTTATTCAGATTTTCTCCTCATCATCCACACAAAGGGGAAGGGCAAGCTTTCCTATTTCTGATGCTCAGTCCACATGCTCACTGTCCCCCTCTGAGATGTGGATCTGTGTCAGACCCCTCGAGCAGAACTAATGCTCCTGCTCACAGCAGACAGAGCTCTGCATCCTCCTCACTGCTTCACCAGTGCATGCAGGAGCAGCAGCATCCCATCTGATAAGGCACAAGAAAGACAACACCATTTTAAAGAGGCTGCCAAGCCAATTCTCAGCTCAGATTCTTTTAAGTGCAGTGGATTGAAGGGGCTCTGACAACACATGCCAACAGCGGGTCTGTTGGGGGGGGAAGGTAACACAACCTCAGCAATGCAGGTACAACCCCCTCAGTCACAGAGAGGGGGAAAGAAAAAAAAATCAAGTTATTATTTCAGCAGATTGCATCTTCGACAGCATTTCTTTACACAGCTCTGTTTGCAGCTGCAAAGAACACTGTTAGAATGGTCTCATCTATTCCCCAGCCCTTCCAAAGGCTGAATCAGAGCAGGACCACTGACATTCCCTTAGCTTGGAACAATCCTGTGTTAGGCTCCAGAGAAGGCAGTTATTATTCTAACCAGATTATCTAGTGCAAAGCTATAGGAGAGACCTTTGGTAAGAGCAAGGAAAAGTCCCTGAAAACCCCAGTTCAAAACTGACTTTCTGAGATGCTCAGGAACCAGTATTCACAGCACACCAGAATGTATCCACTACTAACACAGCAGGTCCTGCTGCAAACAGAGCCTAATCACTGCCTATAAAGCACAGAAATTACAAAGGTGGGTGAACATAAATATAGAATAGAAATCAAGCCCTCATTTAGCCATTAGCTGGTTTAGACACACAATCCAGAACCTGTAGGTATCCCCAAATAATGGGCTTAGTCCA